AGCAAGCATTGGTCATTGTGTAGGATGGTTCAGACAGTCTGAATTCCACATTTCTACAGGAAGTAATGTTTCTCAAGATTAAGCCGTCTATATAGGTTTGCATGTTGTGAAGCAGCACACAGCAGGTTTCTTTAGTAAAAAGCTGATATGACATGCTTTACCATAAAACATACATGATATAAATACAGCATTTGTGCATCTCAAGATGACGTTGTTGACTGTGATTTCAATGCTTAAGAACGTTCAGTTACTCTTTTTGTAGAGTTTTTCCATCAGTGTAATAAGAAAATGCCATGACTCAGATTTTCTCTTTATACCATTTAAAATACCAGCCCTTTATATTGTGTGGATGTTTCACAATGAGACGACTAACAGAGCTGATAAAAAATGACATTTATTATATAAATAGATAAGAACATTTGGAATGTGAATGGAATGGAGGTGAATGCAAGATTACAAAGGAGAATTTGCTAAGTTTTGTTTGAAAAGTAGACAAGGACAAAATAAGAAGCAGGTAAAAACTATGTAGACTGCCCTGAGAACATGAGCCAAAAATAGAAAATCAGACAACCAAACAAAATTTACAACACATGCAAGGGAGAGGAGAGTTAAAAAAAAACAGCAGTTTCCAAAGACTATAAGGGTTATATACTGAAGCTGAGGGCAGAGTGACAGGTGTGACCAGTCAGTAATCAGGTGAGTTGGAGAAGGTTGTCTTGGAAACGGGGGCTGGAGGTATGATTTTTGGCTTGGGATTGTGGGAAATGTAGTGTTCTGAGGACTGAGCGGACAAGCGACAGTATTGGCCTGTTTACATCTCCAGTCCTCTCCAGACTTGTAGACATGTGGACTGGAATATGAGCAGTACCAAGAAATTCCACATGCAGATTTTTTGGGAACTTCCTCAGAGGCTGCTTGGGCTGTAGGTTTCATCAGACTTTATATGAACATGTTACAATAAAACCTACGTAAAAATACAAAATTTTAGATAAACAGTGAAGGTCTTCCACTGTAAAAATACACAGATATGCAGGGTTAGGTCTAAGCGTTGGCCCTATCATCAGGAGATTGTGAGGTCGATCCCTGGGGATGCTACAACTATCCGTGGCCAGGAGTCCAAGAGAGCACAATTAGCCTTGCTCCCTGGATGGGTGGGATGTCCCCCATCCCCTGATTACCAGCACAGAAGTCTGTTAGCTGACGTAACAGAATTGGTGGTGGGTGCGTTCAGCTGTCCAGTGAGGTTGCGTCCAATTATCAGTGGCAGATCGAAAAGATGTGGTGGCTCACTTCACAGGTCTCAGAGGAAGCCTTTTCTAGCTTTTGCCTTGCTATCCAATATATTAACCAAAGTAAGTAATGTGGTAGCACACATTAAAAGAAGTGTGGTGATGTAAAGTCTAGTCTAACCAAGTTTATTTGGTAAATGTTAGCTATGTTAGCTGTGTAAGGTAGTTGGTAGGCTAACTACAATACAATTATTACACAGATAATGTTAATGTCTGCTCAAAAATGATCAAATATTCACCTATAAACAAATATTCACCTATTGACAAATGTCATATATTGGGCTACAGCTACCAGTAGCCCTCCAGTAAAACAGTGGAAACAACCCTTGAGTTTGTTTACATGTACTTAATAATTAATTAACTATAGAAAACCAGATTTTGTCAGAAATCCGATCAATGCGTTTACATGCACTTAATTAATCATAAAATGGAAAACACCAGGTCAACATGAGTCGGGCAGTAATCAGATTTCTGCTTTGCAATCCACCAATACAGAAGACGACATAACATAAACGTAACATAAAACGTCATTTTATTTAAATATTGTGTCAGTGTAGTGAAAAATATAAACATACATCATCGAGAAAGGACAAATATTAAAATTCTACATTTCACCTAGCATGTAGTTTGTTTTAGCATCACTCCAAAAGTGTTTTGTTGCCATCTTGCGGGTGCTGTGTTAGATGCTGCTTACCATTTCTGGTACAGCGATCTGTTTTCATACATGCTCAGACGGAAAAATGAAAGAAATCAGAGTAAGGGTATACATGCACTGAAAATCCTGATTACTGAGCGACACTTCACCTCTCTTTATCAGATTTCTTAATTTGATTTCTAGGCCTTAATCCATTCTAAGAAATTAGAGTATGCTGTTTACATGTTCACTTGAATAATCAGATAACTGCCAAAATCTGATAATGATCAGATTATTAAGGGCACGTTAACTCGCTCATTATAGCAAGCTAATGTTGACTAGGTTAATCAGTCTCACATGACAAACACAAAAAAACAGTTTATAAAATAGATTTTTCTTGAAATAAAGCACTTATCTTTTTGGTTTCGCTATATAGTAAGTAGTATTTTATGGAAGTTTACTTTCCGATTCCTGTCATCTCTGTGGTTCCGCTGTGGTTCCATGCTGCTGCCTGAGGAGAAGCTGTTTAACTCTGTTCTAATTGGCGCTATAATAACTCAGTGGCTAGGTCACCAAAAAACATCTAAAACTACCCAGCACTGTGGAAATAACCTATCATAACGACCCAAAAGGCTCAACTAAATATTTGGGTAGAAGAAAAAAACAACCTCACAGTTTTCTAGAGTGCAATTAGCTATTCATGTGCAAATGTACAGATTTTGGTATTAGTATTAACCATGGAAGTGGGCTAAGCGTAGCAGCTGCTATCACTTTTTATATGCTGTCAGCCTGTGTGATGTGATGTGATGATGCTGAACGTCACAGAGCAGAGCATCAGTATAAAGTATATCAGTATCAGTATATCAGTAACAGTATCGGAGTCTAAAGGTCTGGAATCTTGAAATTTAGATTGAGCATGCCGTATGTTCTGTTTCTCCTCACACCATGAATAATGCCAAAATGACTACTGTGGAAAAATGTCCTCAAAAGATGTAAAAACTTGGAACTTGCCAGCCTTTTGATGGTCATTGTATGGCTCAGATTCAAACAGCTTCACTTCCTACAGTAAATACTGCTGCTTTTCTATAGGGGACTTTTCTACGTCTACATACAGAACTTGGGAAATATTAGGAAAGAGCCCCATGGCTGTTTTTGAGTTACATTATGATCAGCCTAAATTTGGACAAATGACGAGATGTTTGTCACCAGAAAACAGGGTAGCTGTTGGATGTGATCCCGATGAGCACATGAATATGCATCTGAGCGGCATACGGGTCAGCGGGCATGTGCACTGCAGTAGCTGTTCACCGTCTCCTACATCAGTCTGTTGGTGTGTGTGTGTGTGCGTGTGTGTTTAGGTCTGATTAAGTCTCCCCAGGCTCCGGGTTGTGTGCTGGCTCCAGATTGACTAGGCTCTGATAGAACCGCTCCATCACTGGATCTCCCAGATGAAAGAAGCTGCAAAACCCTATGAAAGCGTGTTTGGAAGCCAGCTAGAGTAGAGAACAAAGACAGGCCTACACACACCATCCAGGAGCGAGCGGAATAAAATAAATTACACACAGCTATCTGCTGATCGTTTCATAAGGGCAAGCTGGCTCTATAGGCATCCAGTTCATTATTATCCACCCTTGTTTCTGCTGTCTCTGCTCAAAAACAGGAAAGTTTTATTGTGTGCTGGATAGTCCAACACATCAAGAAGCCTTATAACACTTTAGACTCTTAACCCCTGGAAGTCTAAAGCTATTATTGCTGTTTTGTTATACAGTTTAATTGTAATTACAGGCAGTACTGTGCAAAAGTCAGAGACCACTTCTTATTTATTTAATTTTCAGTCAAAACAAAAGTTGTTCATTTTTCAGCGTATTTTTTTATACACCTCCAAATCTCAGTTTTAGAAGTTAGTTGCATTTTTCAGTCAATCACTCTGAGAACACTAGCAGCTCATTTGTTTGATTTGCAAATGTTCAGTTTTCTCATTAACAGCTTCTTGACAGCTACAGATCCTTTTCAAACCCATAATGCTCAGCTGTCTTCTCATAGTGGAGGGATGGACAAAAACATGTGTAGATTTCTTTCAGATCTGAGTGCTTGATTTTCTCCTCTCTCTCAAAGATTAAAGCTTCAAGTGCTGTTTATCTGATAGGGACAGATTGGTAGACTACTAGGACTTGCATGGTTGTTAAAAGTCCATGTTTTTCCATGTCTTTTAATCAGTTTTTGAATTCCAGTTTTGGAAACTCTTGTTTGTTCACTTATTTTACTTTGAATTTTCTCTACTTTATGCAGGTAGGTTATCTTATATTGAATGTCTTAAGGAATATTTTTCGAGCAATTAATAACTTGAAATAGTCAATGGCTATTTTGACTGGAAGTTAAATAAATGAAAGGGGTGTCTGACTGCCGTGGCACAGTAATTATATAATAGTCATTTACATAATAAGTCAAATTACCTTTACATTTGATTTAAATATGAAGCAGTTTGGGTCTGCATTTCTGACCCAGTTTTCTTCTGCAAAACAAGCTTCTTGTTTCATCAAATTCAAATCATAATATGTCCACTTCTACTTGCAAACACAAGTGTGGCATTAGTTGAAAGTGTAGAATACATACCTTTGATAGAAGTTCTAAAAAGAGAAAGCTAAGACACTGAGTTTTTTCATCTTATTGCAATCATTCTCACCCATTAAATGAACCCAAAAATGACAAAGTAAAAATGACCTAAAGTAAATGTGTCCTATTTTCATACATTGTTTCAATGAGCTTCAAGTGAGACAGAGTTAATATCAAATTGCTGTATTTGTTTTCAGTGGTAATCATGGTGATATTTCAGAGTGAGACTAACGATAATGTAAAATCTAATCCCCTTAGTTTGGGCTCTTTACCCATAATTCCTCTGCCTGAAGGTCAGTCTTAAAGTCCTGCTGGTTCATGTTTCTGGCCCATGCTGAGCACAGTCCTTGAGAGTGCTCTAATGGCGAGTTGATCATGTGGCGTCCAGAGATGAAGAAAAATAGGCCTTCAAGCTGGAGATGTAAAATTGTGGTTCTGATCACACTTGTTTCTGTTCTCTCTAGGTTGTCCTGTGGCTATAAAACGAGTGCGGAGCAACAAACGGATGGCCCTGGCAGCAGCGGCCTTGATGGCCATGGAGTCAGATGTGACGCAGGGGCCGTCTGCGTCTTCAGCTCATCCACTGCATCTGCTCTCTCTCTCGCCCATCAAAATCCCCATTCTCACATCACCTAGCCGAGGTAAAAATGACCTGCTTTATTAACCTAAACTGGGTAAAAATGACCTTCTTTATTCTACCTGCCTAACCCAGGAAAACATGGCTTCCTTTATTAACCTAACCTGGGTAAAAAAGATGACTTTCTTTATTCACCTGCCTAACCCAGGTAAAAATGACCTTCTTTATCATCTAACCCATGTAAAATGTCCTTATATGTTATTTACCTAATCCAGGTAAAAATGACTTTTATACACCTGCCTAACCAGGTAAAAATGGCCTTCTTCATCTCCAAACTTAGGTAAAAATGTCTCCTATATTTGCCTAATTCAGGTAAAAATGCCTCTTTTATTCAGCTTACCCAGGTAAAAATAGCCTTCTACTCCAGGAAACTACATCCTTTTTTATTTATCCAGCTTCCCTTAATTTACTTAGTCTAGCAAACTGTATCCTGTTTTATTCACCTCACTCAGGTCAAAATGACTTGCTTTTTTCATGTTGTCCAAAAAAATATATCTTGCTTTATTGACGTAACCCAAGTCTAAAATGACTGTCTTTATACTCTCCTAGCTCAGGATACTACATCCTTCTTTTTCACATAGCCCAGGTTAAAGGGTTGTTTTTTTTGCCCATCCACATTCCACAAAAAATAACTTCATCAAGGTGTAAACCACCCAAGTTAACTCAACTAATTCATATTACTCACATAACCAAGGTAAATACACCACTTTATCTCTGATTAATGCCCTCAGGTAGGAGTGAATGAAAACTCCGGTATAGATTTTCTCTAACCCCAATAAAACCTGTTCTCTCACCTGGCATGATTGAAGAACACACCTCATCCATACTGTATTTCTCAGATTTGCATGAACTTTTTATGAACACATTCTACCACCTGACTTAGATAAAGTCATACTCTCTGGAATCTTGCTCTACATGTTGTTATGTTGTTGTTTCTACTGACCTGCTTGATGACACATTTGACTCCACAGCTGGTACTGATTTTCACACGAAGCTTGTGGTGTCCTATTTGGTGAACTGTTATTGCAAATGCATTAGTTAATGCAAGTGTAAACATATTCTGTTTGTTTTCTGGGTTGTTAAGAAGTAAGTAGGCTATGCTTTTATCTTCAAATGCAAATGTTGGGAAAGCTGGCTTTACTGGAACTGGTTATGCTCAGGAAAGTATGTCTGGTGGGACTTCTTTCACTGGGAACTGCCAGTTTTTTTAGGCACACTTACATTTTGGTACACCGTTACACAGTTAGAGACTTGTTCCTGTTTTCTGTGACAAATAAACTGTGGCTGTCACTTCTCCTTCATCAGAGGTCAGTTTCTGACCATAGAGCAGGTCCTGGCGAACTACTCTTGGTTGGCAGTGAGGTGTTTAAAAATCCCAGCAGAGAGGTGCAAACGTTCGAACAACCGTGATCAAATTACACGCTTTCTTGATTTTGTAAGTGAAAATAAATGCATATCCTCTACAGAGAACACTTCTCATATTTTAATGCACAATTAACATGAAACATGGCCTGCACAAAAGTTGTGCCACATTTTAAATGTTATGTTTTATTGTTTTATCCACTAAGTTAACTATGTGCACTAACAGTTGCATAAAAATGCAAGTTAAGTTCCCTAAAGAGAATGTATTATTTTCATTTAGAAACTCACCAAGACATGTCATTTGACATAGACAACACTATAGTGTTATAGTGTTATATATATACATGGTTTTGACATAACAGCAACAAAATTCCAATGTTGAAGTAGAAGAAATACAGCAGTGTCCTAATTTGTGTTGCTTTGCATTTCTTGAGGCAATTAAATATTGCTGGTGGGGCAGCTGTCCACTTTCTAAGCTTATTTCAGAGATTGTGGGTTGTCCAGGTGGGCTCTGATGCTTTCTCCCTGAGTGATAGGGAATTTCACTTTACTGAAGAGGACTGGTTTAAATCAAGGGTCAGAGTGTAATGATTGAATTGAAAATAGATGGAGAGAGGAGGTTCATTTGCAACAACAGACAGAGCGTGTCTTTTTCCACTCACTCTCTCTCACACACACACTTCCCTCTTGCATATTGATCGTCTGATCTTTTTCCTCCTCTTGGTGTTCAAGAAATACGTTCGATTCCTTTTGCAGGTAGATAGCCTGAGGTAAGAAACAGAGGGAATCTGTGTGTGTGTGTGTGTGTGTGTGTGTGTGTGGAGTCACTCTCAGCGAAGTAAAAGAAGCTTTTTGAAGAGTTTCACATGGTCGTCCAAGTGTGTGTGAGTGTATCTTTTTTGAGCAGAGGTGAGGACTTTGATGAGTGTGTTCATGCAAGTGTGTGTGTGTTTCTAAGACGCAGCTTGTGTGTAGGCCTGAACTTTTGCATTCGACTCCCACTGTGTGGCTCTACAGGAACGTAACTGGTGTTAGTGTGAGACAGTGAGGCGTGTTCTCATCTCAAGTTGCCTCTGCCAGTTTCTTAAAGACAGCGTTTAGGCAAGAGAGGCAATCACGCACAGAGATGAGGCTTGGCTTAACCCTTAAAGGCCAATGCAAATATGTGGCTACTTCTGCCATCTGTTCTGCTCTTCTCTGTTAATGATGTGATTTCTCAGTTCTGTTCTACTCATTTGATATGTAAAGAATGTACTCTAAGCCAAAAAATCATCATTTATTTCATTTGTCCCTCACACTACCATTTTAAATAAGCAAACATAAGTCAATATAAGTCACACATTAGTCATTAATCTGCTTAAATAAACTAATAAGCTCCCACTGCTTCTTCGCGCTTGTATAGTTCAACTCTGCCCAAAGTGGACAGGAAAAAGAAATAAAGAGCAGGAGCATTAAACAAACTGACAACAGCTAATTTTTTCATCATTATTGCCTAGTAATGAAAAGTGATAAAAACCCACACAGCCATGTAAAAATAAATAAAGAAATACAGTTATCAAAGTTATCCTTTACTTTGGAACTTCTGTAACAAATTGGAAGGATCTGTATTATGACTTTTGCACAATTTGTGAACCAGACAACCAGAGGGGGTCAAAAACAGCCAGACAGGTTCATCGTACAGCAGTTCATACTTCAAAACATCGGAACTAGATAAATCCAATCAAAAATAGACACAATGGCTCAGAATAACAAAGCCAGCACAGATCAGACATGTGCAAATAAAAAGACAAGGTTTACATTTACTTGACTGTTTGGGATTGTTATAAAGATCATAGTCGGACAGGCTATGGTCAGTACCAGAGAGCAGGATAACCAAAACAAGAGGGACATCGAGAGCAAAACCAAAAATCAGTCCAGTATCGAAAACCAGGAGAGCAAACAGTACACAGCAATCCAACCGAAAAGGGCGAAACACAAAAGGGCAAAAAAAAGACATCATACACAGAAAAGGCTTTGTCAGACAAATGGCTGCTCAGTATGCAACAAAAGAAGTTGGCAATATTCACAACGAAGTAAACTAAAGGCTTTTATACGTCTAACTAATAAAATGAAATGACGAACAGGTGTGACAATTAGAATTCTGGTGAGGAGGAGCGCTGGAATGAGTGTTCATTGGTAGCTGGTGATGGGTGGAGAGTCATGTGATCTCCCACTGACTCATGGGAGTTGGAGTCTTCTAGACAGTCCATGGACACAATTGACTCTGCAGGACAAAGAGAACAGACAGAGGAGGTGTCTTCAGCAGGAGGCCTGACAATGTATCCCATACAGTTGCCCCCAAAAAGTATTTGGACCCTCAAGCCATTGGTTAAAATAAATGAAGTTCTTTACTTTATGTTTTACTTTTTTATGTTGCTTCATTTAAGTTGCTTCATAAAATTATATTTGTTTCAGAGAAAAACACTTTTAGCACAACATCAAACTGATGGTGGACTCTTTATGTGGAGAAGGCCTGGAGAAGAATTCCAACCAGACTGTTCTAAAACTACTGTAAATAACAGAAGTGCAAAGTCTAAGGCTGGTTTTCTTTCAGTGATGTCGGTGAGCTTGTGTTTATTGATGGAATCACAAAGTCAGAAGTGTTCAAAGATATTTTAGATCTAAACCCGCAGAGGTCTGCAAAGAAACTGCTCAAATTGCAGAAGTGGATCTTCCAGCTGCCTTTTGAGTGGTCTTGGATAAAATGTTGTGGTGCTATTTCAGCCACACTGTGCATAAAAAAGATGGGTGGTACAGTTTCTTTTTCCATGTTATGTAGAGTTTCCATGTTTTTCCTTTGAAATGACCTAATTTAACCCTATAAATGTAACCCACTCTTTGTATATCTACTAATAATCATGCTGACTGCTGACTATCATAGCAGCCCTGATGCAGTGGAAGGTCTGGGCACTCCCTCTAAAGCTGTATGCACTAAACACAGATAATGAATATGCTATGATTCTCTAGTTAGACGGCATCAGTTTGAAACTAACTGCACCTAGCGTGTATCATCTGTTAGTGTCCCATGATGCTAATTGGATAATTCTCTCTGTAGTTAAGCATGCCATGGCTGCGTCTGAGAACAGATAGACCAAGGCCTCCTGCAAACAAGCTAATTGTGAAAACTGATTAGGAAAGCCACTGAAACTGGGAGAGCATTTTTCAGTTGGTGGCAGGGTCCGGTACTGGAGAGAAATAACACAGCCCACCCAGGTTTATGCTCTCTGGTGTATCATGATAGTAATGCTGCTTTTATTCCAAATTTACATATGTACAAGTCACATCAGCATCATTTTACATCAGCCTCGTATTCTACATCAAAACACAAAGGTGTGACATACAATAATTCTGGAGGAAATGACCACCAGTGAACTAGCTACTGTATGGATGCTACTATGAGTTAAAAAATAGGTTGGTGCATCTTCTAGCATTGTATAAGGGCCTGTCTTAGCAGTATACCACTATGAGAACCTCACTGCAAATCAAGAAACATGACCACTAATATTATAATTAAGCTTATCTTGGGACACACAAAGTCTTTTAATCCTGTTTGATGCTAAGTCTGTGTTTAAACTGACTTTTGTTCAGGTGTACTTTAGTAGG